TGTTTTCATTTATAAAAAGTAAAAGAATAGTCACAAGTAAACTGTGTTCACAATTAAAGTGCTGGTAAATGGCACTATTCAACCTGTAATTATTATTTTTTATTATCTTTTTATTTGTACTTTTAGATATACATGGCAATTGAGTGTATTTTGCATATTATACATATGTGGAGTAGAAATTATTCTAATTAGGATTCCATTCTTGTGGTTGTACGTGACGTGGAGTTACAATGGTGGTGTATTCATGTATGTGTATAAGAAAGTAATGGTCAATTCATTCCACTGTCTTTCCTATTCCTATCCTACTCCCTTCCCTTCATTCCCCTTGTCTAATCCAATGAACTTCTATGTTCAACCTGTGATTACGAATCAAGCTCACCTTTTTTTTTGCATTTTTCTATATTGTCATTAAATCTATTTTGATCATAATCTTAGACTATTATTTTTGAAATTCCCCAAACCTTTACTGAGAGTAGAGTGATACTGTATTTGAAATATACATAAAGAATTTTGAGTCTGGGGTAAGAATTTGAATTTGCAAATTCTTTTTTAAAATTTTAATCTAATTTGTTATATATGACAGCAGAGTACATTTCACATATATAGCACAATTTTTTATATATCTGATTGTACACAACATAGAGTCACACCATTTGTCTATTCCTCCCATGCTTTCCTACATCCCCATTATGAATCAGCATCTTATATCAGAGAGAACATTTGGCACTTGTTTTTTTGAGAGGATTGGCTTACTTCACTTAGCATTATATGCTCCAACTCAAATGCCGTGATTTTATTCTCTTTTAATGCTGAGTAATATTCTATTGTGTATATATACCACATTTTCTTTATCTATTAATTTACTGAAGGGCATCTAGGTTGGTTCCACAATTTAGCTATTGTGAATTGTGCTGCTATAAACATTGATGCATCTGTGTCCCTGTAGTATGTGTTTTTAAATCCTTTGTTTATAAACCAAGGATTTGGATAACTGGGTCAAATGGTGGTTCCTTTCCAAGTTTTCCAAGGAATTTTCATACCGCTTTCCATACTGGCAGCACCAATTTGCAGTCCGACTAGCAATATATGAGTGTGCCTTTCTCACCACCTCCTTGCCAAAATTCTAATAGGGACTTGATGAGTTTAGAAGGGAGCATGTTGTGTTCCATGCTTTTGTGATGATGTCATGATGTATCCTAGTGTTGTATATAACTAAAAAATAATTTTTTAAAAAAGACAAACAGCTGAAAGAACCAGAAAAAAAATGAAGTCTGCAATAGTATAATCTATACACAGCAAAGGCAAAAAGAATTATTTGAGTTAGGGCAAAGGCTGATTTCTTAAGTTTCCCACTGAAGAGCAAATAAAATATACACACATTAGATTAGAATAGGGTACAAGTAGATGGTTTCAGATCTCCATACTCAACTTCTCAAAAAGAAAGACATCAAGTATGTTGACTAGTTCAAGTGAAGAGAGAAAGGTCTCTACAAAAAAAGTTCAGATTAACAAGAAAGCTATACTTTCTATTCAGGCTTGCAGGGGTGAGGTGTCTGCATCAAGTTTGTATCTGCTACTTGTATACTGGTACTTACCTCCTAACTTCTGTGCTCATCATTCTTCTTTTGCATCATACCTGAAAGGCACAGTGGTGGCCTGTCACACTTATTACTTTAAAATTTGTGCAAGCATTTTGTGTTGACAGTAATAAATATCAAAGGACAGTCCATGCATGGATTCATCTATGAGGTTTTAAGTAGAATCAAAATGTCATCCTAATTAGGATGTCAGTTTACAAATTGCCTGTGAAGGTCAGGCTTCTAGCTTGTATAAATTTTAGGTGATTTCACTGACATAATAAACAAAAGAGGTGAAATGGACTTGGAAAATAGAGTTACGGAGAAGCCACATTTAACTCTGGATTGTTAAGTTGGGTCTTCAAAAGAAAGACATGCCAGGCATGTTAGCACACACCCGTAGTTCCAGCAACATGGGAGGCTGATGCAGAAAGATGACATGTTCAAAGCCAGCCTCAGCAACTTAGCGAGACCCTGTCTCAAGATAAATATTTTTTAAAAATTAAAATGGCTGGGGATGTGGCTCCATGGTTAGTTGCCCCCTGGGTTCAATCCCTAGAACCAAAAATAAAAATGAAAAATAAAATAAAGTAAAATAAAAATACCCAAGTATATGTTGACAAAAATGCATGTCTGCCTCTTTGTGAAATTATTATGCTGATATCTAATAATTGCTAAAATCTTGGGAAATAAGAGATGGAACAATATCATTTTACTATGAGACCGAGTATTCTTTGATTTGCTTTAAGATTTTATATTTTCAATAAAAGAATGCACATTTTTAGTGTATTTGTTATAAAATCCCTTATATTATCTTTTGATTAGTTGATAAAAAAAATCTAACCATTAAAATTCATACGGTTTAGGCATGCTGTCTTCTAATGATGAAATACCTAACGGTTTTTTATAGTTTTGCTGGGGATATAGCTCAGTGATAGAGTGCTTGCCTAAAAAATGAAAGGATCTTGGGTTTCATTTCCAAGCCCAAACAAAACAAAATAAAACAATTTTTTTATATTATAGTTTCTTGAAGAATATGGTCCAAATGGAATAACCTAGCTTGTTCAGGGTGAAGTTATTTTTAGCAAGAAAAGTTGTCAAATTACAAAGTAGATTTAAGGCATTCTAGGTGTGACCAACTTGAACATTACTTATGCACACAAGCTACATATTTTCTATCAGCTTCAGACAAATGGATATTGTATTGCAATGTCATTGAAATATTTATCAGAAGATTTGTTGAAGGGTCTTTTTCCCTTTCTTCGTCTCTTTCTTTTTTTATTATTTAATACATGCTTTTTATGGACTTCACTCTATACTAATTGTTACAGTTAGAATTATACAGAATATTCTCCGTCTTCAAAGCTTTCCAAAAGCTCAGAGAAACAAACAAGTAAAATGCAATACTGTCAACATGTAAAATATACTATAATTAGTGTGTTCTTTGTAGGATGGAGAAATGGAGGGAAAATAAACAACACTGTGTGTGTTGGCATCTCAGAGGCTCTTGAGGACGAGAGAATTTGTGATAGAAATAAAAGAATAAAAGAGAGTTATTACTAGAAAGAGTAGCACACATAATCACCAGAAAAGAAGATAAAGAATGACACAATTGGGGAGTTAGAAGAAAGTCACTATAATTTTAACACAAAGTAATAGTGGTCCATAAAAGACTGAAAAGATAAGTAAGGGAAGTTTATAAAGAATGCTCATATATATGGCGCACTAAAGCACTTGTACTTTTTCCGGAGGATAATGGATGCTTTTAAATACTATTAGGTAGACAAATGGAACAGAGATATTTGCATTTTAGAACCATTTTTATGTCTTAACTAGGAAATATATAACATGGGACAAAAGAAAAACATCAGTAAGAAGAGTTCAGAATGGTTGTGGGACTCTAAGTGAAAAATGGTAATGGTGATGTGAATGAACAAGTGGCAGGTGGTATGTGTGAAGTAGATGCATTTAAGAAATAATTAGGAGATAGATCCTAAGGGATTTGATAATGTATGTGTTTTCTAAGCAGTGATAGAGGTAGTTATGGCTGGTAAGGCTTAAATACTCCAGTTTGTTTAACTATGGGTAAATTAGGTATTCACTGAGATAGGAAGCACAAGAAAATTTAATTTAAAATTAAGAAATTTAATGGGGAAGAGGTAAATTTAGTCTGTGAACTTGATATTTCTGGAGTTTTTTAGGAACTTCCTGAATGTCTTTCTTGAGTAGGCAGCCCAATTTATTGTTATAGAGTAAGGAAAATAAATGTTGCATATAAAAATCATTGTAAAGCTAATAACTATAGAATTATATATGACTATGATTTAGGGATGATCTTCAAGGAGAGATGAGACTGAAGGTCTATAAACAGAAATTCAGCAGAAGTACACAAAAAATGGAGAATATTGTAGCATGATCAAAATAGGACTAGAAATTATATGGAAAATATCCAGAATGGAGGAGTGGGCAACAATATGACCAAAGACAATAATTTAAAAATGATTAAAAATATTAATTTGGCTAGAAGGGCTTTTTCTAAACTTATGTCAATATCAATTTTAGGAAAATCATGTGAATGGCAATCAGACACAATAATATTGAAAAATAACCAGAAGAAAGGAATTTGTGGGTCAATTTTAGGTTGCATTTATATGAAGATTGCAAAAAATGAAGGATATAGAAAGTAGAATTGCCATAAAAGTAGTTTTTACCTAAAGTAAAATAAGTTTTAACTTAAAAATAAGAAGAAAAAAGTGGATAAAGAAAAAAAGGTAATTGATATTATAAGATATGTTAGCTTATTTTTACAAAAGCATGTTCTTTGACACAGAAGTCTTATCTTAAAAGTCATCAGAAATACAGACTCTTGGTCCCAGCCTAGATCACTGTACTTAAATTAATTCCCAGTAATTTGTATGCCCATTAAAGCTTCATAAATTGTACTGTAAGTTGTTCTTTAAAACTTGATTTAAGACACCTTTGAATAAGCTTGTCTTAAAAAATAGAAGGTGTATTTTAATTTTTGTAAGAGGAAAGGAGTGCAGGTGTGAGTGCTAGTCAAGTTGTAGGTGTACATCAAGAAATTATAGTTGCCTACTTGATGATTTGAATCATATAGGTCATTTGCTTAGCCAATGTGAATAAAGTTGGCATAGAATTGACATCTCGAGAATAGAGAAACTTTCAAATGACTGATGAAGGAAATCTGATAGAAGAGAGAGAGAGGGAGAGGGAGAGGGCGAGGGCAGGCGAGGGAGAGGGAGAGAGAGAGATTAAGACTCCAACAGAGCACTGAGGCCCCTGTTCATCATACACCACTTGGAGTGGACACTGTGTGCAGAGGTACCAATCTACATGTGCTACATTCTCTAGCAGCATTCAGCAGCTTGGCTGGAAGACAAAGCAGAGAAAAAATTGCAATGATTCAGTTAGGATTGCTTTATTTATATATAGAAGATATAACAGTTGAGTTATATCAGTTGACAAACATTGCGAAAAATCATAGAAATTTCTCTAACCAAGTATAGAAATCAGGACAGATACAGAGATTGAATTGAGATCAATGGCTAAAGTCACAAGTTTAGAGGGTGAAGAACTGTATTAGTTATAAAATTAGACTCCCAGAATATTAAAAATATTATGGTCTAAAGATGAAGAATTTGAATCTACTCTTTCAGAATACAATGTCTCTGAATAATGGCAAGATATCATTTCAGGCTATGGGAGTGAGCACCTGAAGTACATTGGCATTTTATATAACTAGTGTTGATAATTTTTAAAAAAGCAAACCAAGGTACTGTAGAGTTTATCCACTTGACTGTTAAAAGCATTGCAAATGGTAAGTTGTTTCTGAATAGAAAAGAAGACAGAGAATCAAATACAAAGTTCTATATTAAATAATGGAAAAGAGCAAGAGGTTAACATGAGACTGCATTATGGCTTTTACAGGCCCTGGTCACTTTTGTCTTTCTCATTTCCTTTCTCCATTAAAAATACTATACGAAAATCATATTTTACAAACTTAATAATATAAAGACAAGTATATTAACATTACATATTGCGGTATTTAGAAGTTCAATATTTTTCTTAGCTGTCACAGTTTTACTACTCTTTTCTGACATGTGTTTATTAGACTCCTTATTAATCACTTAACAGGCAGATGGGTGTGCCAGCAGCACATGGTAAATACATTCATGCCTTCTATTTCTCTAAACTCTGCGTTCTTCTTTTTGTTATTCTAGGACACCTACAGTATATCAACCTAATTAAATCTAAGCTAACACAATTCAAAATCAAGGTCAGCTTACAAGTATTGTGGATAATAAAAATGCCTATATTTTGAGAGATCCACTAATCTTCTAAATGCTTATAGAAATCAAAACATCAGCCCTGTATTCACAAATTATTTGGATTTTAAAATTTGTAGGAGCTTATTTATCTCCTTTAGGGTATAGGCAAATGTTGACAAAATAGATTAATAATAAGTTTTCAAATATTAGATAGAAGCAATAAGACCAATAATACCTGAGAGGTATATGTTAATGACCTGAGAGTTTCTAGTTTATGGTCCAAGGTGGAAAAATTCATGCAATGCCTCTCAGATTCCAGAAGATGAAGAGAAAAAGCTGAGAGCTTTCAGAGATCAAGGCAGCAAGATGAAGAATCAGGAGAAACACACACACAATTACACACACACACACATACACACACACACACACACTTAACTATATCCCAGAAAAAAGCATCTAAGAATATGCATGAGATGCAAAACCACTCAGAACACAGGAAAGTAATAATCAGAAAATTTGACAAACACAAAAAAATAATAAATAGCCGGATAAGCATGGAAAGAAGTAGAAAAATAATATATAATAGGAGAAATGTGAAACAATCAAACTGGAGCCATTTTATATTAGCAGACAAGGATGTCAAAACACTTACTATAACATATCCCATGTGTCAAAACATTTAATCAAAACAGAATATATACAAAGGATCTGAATTAGACTTTGAAGGCTGAAATCTATAGTATATGAGATTAAGCATTCAGAAGATGGGTGGAACTCTCAGAATGGTGGCATATATATTATCCACGATACTTGTAAGCTGACCTTGATTTTAAATTATGTTAGCTTAGATTTAATTAGGTTGATATACTGTAGATTTCCTAGAATAATTAAGAGAAGAAAACCCAGGGTTTAGAGAAATAGAATGCATGAGTGTATTTACCATGTGCTCTGGCACTCCCATCTGCCCGTTAAGTGCTCAAGCATACCAAGAGAAATATATTCACTTAACTAAAGCTTAAGTTGCATTACTGAGTGGACCATCATCCTCAAAAATCTCTGTTGTGGCTCAGGTGAAGACCATAAATAATGTTGGGAAAAGCATCGAAAAGCATCCTTGATATGAGTAACATGATTTTCATAAATATGATTACATCCAGTGCAATAGAAAGCAAATATTAGTGCTTAATCAACAGAGACAAAGTAAGCTTAAATAGAATAATAGACATCAAGAATGAAGTAGTAAGCAAAATACTTTGAGCAACAACATCTTTGCAGTGGCAAAATAATGATGAATAATTAGCAATAAATATGAAGCCAATATGCTAAATTATGACTTGATATATTTTATAAATTACTTTCAGGTTTAACAAAGCCTTATTTGTGAAGAATAGTAATATCTCAAGAAATGAATGGACTATAGTTTATTCAAAATTTCATAACCTCTTGATTCAATGAGGAGCTATATTCCACTCTGGGAATAGCCTACAACATTGACCATATTTGGTGAAACTATGATTGCAGTGCTCTCCTTTGGAGATGAGACTGTAACAAAAGTCAAATAATGATGGAAAATGAGAAATATTCAGAAATTCTGAAGACAAATAGACATTAACTTTGATATCATCTTATTTTCCAAGTACCAAAACCAAAACATTGCCTATAGTAATATGAAAATAAATTGAGTTTTTAATACATGGCAATTTCACAGTGCTATAATGAGTTTGAAGTCCCATGTAATTAGTTTACAAATTATTTAATTCTTAATTTGAGTAGGAGGAATTAATGCTTCCATAATTCTAACATTTGCCCCTGAACTTCTGGAATGAGAAATATTTTTACTTACCCTTCATTTTGGCCAAACCCAGTTTACACCTTAATCCAGATGTAATTATTTTATCTCCATTCACTAAGAAGAGGGTCCAGGTATGCATAATTAGTTAAATGTTCATATATACTATTATAGCCTGAAGAGCACTACTAATTATTCTTATCATGATGACAAACATATAAGAGCACAAATTTTGAGAAAGTAGAAATTGATGCCACAATAAAACATATGGAAAACTCAGAGATAAAGATTCCTATCACATTTCCCCAAAACCTAGCATTTTCCCTGTGAAACGGGCAAATGAATCCCAATAAGTTATAAACAATAATAATTTCAATCTGATGGCAGATCTAATTACAAGTTCTTGTCCAGATACATTTGCTTTCACCTAGAGCAAATTTTACCCATCACTTGGTTTGCAGTTACCCATCTGGCCAATGTCTCTTCTCCTTTATACCAGATTACATGTAACAACATAGTTGTTTTCTATTATCTGGCTGGAACAACATTTCAATTTCATGGTCTTGCCTCAGGGCCATGCCAGCTCCATTATTCTTGTTCATAATCTCTCTGGTGCTATTTGACATCTGGTTTGTGGACATATGTCAGTCTATAATGAGATAAGTGAAAGTTTACATTCAATTTATGTACTTAATGTGAGCAAGTAACTAAACAGTTTTAAAAAGTCAGTACTAGATTATCACCCATAGTTTTAGTATCATGAATCAAGTTCACTAATATATTAATTATATCCCATGAATGATCAGAGTGGTCCATTAAATCCATGGCATCATTCTGATTGCACATGACAATAAAAAAAAGTGACCCATCTATGAGATTCATGGGTCTGACACATACACATCAGACAGCTATTTTTCTGGGTATAATTTCTGTTGAGTGGTCTTGACCTGGGCAGAACAGACCTTCCAAAGTGAAAGATAGATTATTACATTTCACACTATGACTAATAAAGTGGAGCAATTTTTAATGGGACTTTTTGCAATTTTAAAGGCAAAAAAAATTATGTTTTTTTCAATAGCTCATTAGTAAGTTGACTATTTCAATTTCAAAATGCTATCAAAACTTTTCTACTATTTTTGCTCACAACCACACACATCCAAATGTATTCTAGATACTTGCATCATAATTTTCAAGTTTACCAAAGAGTATCCATTGTTCAGACAGCCCTGAAAGATTAGGAGGACAAGATAATATGTCCTATGTGTACAGGCTCTTTGTTGACTTCACAACTGTCCATGATCCAAGATGCTATGACATCAAGAATGGAGACTAATCAGAAGTTTAACAACATGAATTGTTGATATTGATCTGAGTATAGCAAATGCTGATGGATAAACCTGCCAAAGCTGACACCATTTCTTGAGCTCCTTACTCAATGGGGGAAAAGCCACTCACTACATAACACAAAATGTCACAGTTCCCCTTCTCTGAAGAAGCAAATTGTATATTCTCACTGTAATTGAACTATATGCTAGATATGAATTTCCCATTCTTACTTCCTTAACATTATTTTTCTAACATCACCATCTGTAGACATACAGAATGCTTTATTTGGATTCATGGCATCCAATTCCAAAATGTTTTCGAAGGAATACATTTCCTTCAAAAGGAAACAGATGATCATGCCTATGGATTGCACTGGTCTCATCTGGGTCAACTGAGGTCTCACCTCTAGAAACATGTTGTCCAAAATATGATAGAATGGCCTAGAGTAATGCTATGTATTGGATGATTGGTTCTTCACGTTTTATGGCATAACAAGAATGCTCAGAATGAAGAACCGAATGAATCAATAAATTGAATGTTGTTCAATATAGTATAATGACCGTGCAGAATATTTCTATCAGGTGATATCAAAACAATTATCACAGATTAGAAGTTCAAATAGCTACCCAGGCATGTTTTTTCCTTCTCATTTCCCAGAACCAACAGACAAGAAGAAGATAATAATTATGGCTGGGATTATTGATTCCAATTATCAAGTTTTGTTGCTAATATACAATTTAAGAAAAGAGGAGAATGTTTTTTGAACCCAGGTTTTTCTGTGGAATATATAAGAAGGCACAGAGTCACTCATATATAATAATTAAATATTACATGGCACAATAAGTAAGATTCCTGACATCCAGACCCTTCAAGGATAAAGTTTTGGATTATTCATTCATATTATTCGACATTGAAATCTGAGGGAATGGCCAAAGTTAAAAAAATTAAAATTGATAGTGAAAGAAGTTGTATCAACTACTGAATCCAATACAAAATAAGTAATATAATAGCTTTGCACTGCATCTCCCTGGTTTGTTATAGTCCTGTTTCTCAACCTATGGTAATTAATTTCTAGTTTTCCTTCTTTCTTCCTCATTTTTAATGCATTTAGATAATAATTTTTTTGTGGATAGCTATCTGTTAAGCTGCAAAAGTATTTATAGATTTTAGTAACAAAATTAATGAAGGTCAAAAATCAAGTATATATGGTATATATATACACATACATATATAGATTATTTAGAGATTGTTTATATGTGTATATATACACACATATACATATAATATATACATACATACATATAACATATATGTATATACAGACAATATACACATGTATATGCATATATAAGTGTATATGTGTATATATCCAAATACTCTTTAAAAACTAGTACCTGAGATAAAGACCAAGATACGAGAGACCTTGCACTCCCTCTTTGATGTGGATGGATGAGAGCAACTTTGCTAATGTGAAGGGTAGATGGATTTTGTTTAGGAAATGAGGCTTTTTTATATTGCTGATATGACAAGATATATATAAATGCAGACCATGTCATTTTGTCTTTTCCTTCAGCTTGATGTTTAAAAAAACACACAAATCTGTTCAAACATGATAGTCAGGTCTCTACAAACTATATTCCCCTACTTTATTTGTTACCTGGCTTTTAATTAGATTCCAACTAGGAGGAATGAGAAGAAAATCCAGATGTGAGGTTTGGGAAAAAGGAATCTTGTTTACATCTGTGCTTGCTATTTCTTTTAGCACTGCCCAGAGCCACAGCCGGTGCCAGTTTACAACTGTTATGCCAGCTGGTTTCAGCCTCCAGCTTGTTTTGGCCTCTGGAATCAACATCAATACACTCTTCACAGATCCTGGTCTTTTTGGACGCTGATTTCTAGCACTCCTCTGAGCATCAAGGTTCCTTTTCATTTCCCAACCACACACATGAATGTACAATATCCTGAAAGTTCCGACACAGGGTTCTCTCATTTCTTTGTTCTTTTCTTTCATCTTCTTCGTAGCTTTAAACCAAATTTCCATATGAATTTCTTCCTATTACCTAGTACAAATTTCAATATGCTCAGTTGACCCAGACTGATACAGGTAATGTGTATTTTTTAACCTTCTACAGGAGTACACAAAGTAATATAACCTTAGCTGACTTTTGCAGAACTCAATGACAGAACACTGCAAGTTCCAGCTGAAACTTTGACCCTGTCTTCCAGCTGCTTTCCTCTATCTTTTATCTTCTTCTGTCTCCTTTTTCAGAGAAATGCATTTCCAAAGGTGCTCTGCATTTCTATTTTTTTAAATAGTTTTGTAATCTACAGCTTATAAATATTTATGGTTGTCATCTACTATATCTCCTCTTTCAATTCCCAGTTAGATATACATACATGTGTACTTGTGGGTATATTCACCACCAAAATAAAATTTCCCAAACTGATCTGTCATAAAATTCTATTGCAATGGCTAAGTTTAGGTGTCAACCTGACTAGATCAAGGGATACCTAGATACCTGGTAAAGGATTACTTGTGAAAGAGTCAGACAGGGTATTTCTGGAATACATTGAATCTGAATTGGCAAACTGAATAAAGCACAACTACCTTTATCCAGTGTGGTTGGGCACCATTAAGTTGGCTGTGCCTGAATAGAAAATACAAAAAATAACAAATACTGACAATGATGTGGAGGAAAAAAAATCCCATACACTGTTGATGGAAAAAGAGATTGGTACAGCTATTATGGATAACTGCATGGACCTTCCTCAAGTAACTAAAAATGGATCCATCCTATGATCCAGCTATTCCACTTCTGGATATATATCCAAATTAAAAGAAAGCTGCATACCAAAGCGATACCTGCATGTCCACGTTTATTGCAGCGCTGTTCACAATAGCAAAGATATGGTATCAACAGAGGTGCCAGTGGATGAATGGATAAAGATATATATGGTGCATGTGTTCAATGAAATATGATTTAGCCATAAAGAAAAAAAATATTCATTTTATTAGCAGCAAAATGGTAAGAACTGGAGGACTTTATGTTATGTGAAAAGACAAGTACTACATATTCTCTCTCATATGTAGAAGTTAAAAAAAAAAAGGTGTTTGTGGGGTGGGAAGCAACCTGAATTCAGAGGATGGGAATAGGTTTAAGGTAATTGTTAATAAAGACTGGCTAGATTTGATTAGTTTATTCCACACATTGTTTTCTCAGGGGCTTCCCATGGGGATTCTGTCCCTGCTACACTTTTCCTGGCTTCCCAGAGCTTCCTTTGAAGTCCTAGTGAAAGCCTCCATGATGTCCTAATTCTGACACCTGACATTCCTACAGAACCATCATCACACAAACTACGCCGAAGTCCACTCAGCTTGAGCAGTAACTGGGCTGCTTTGGAATAAGGTTACAGCATCCTCTGAAGGCCTAGGCAGCCAGGCGTGGTGAAAGGAATCTTGGTGAAACAACTTCCTGGGCATCACTAGGAAAAATGACTTTTCACTTTCAGACCCTGGAGCATGCCCTGGATGTGGTTTTGTTGATTCCTATGATTGCTTCTGGGAACCATTCTCATTGTTTCTATACGAAGTATTTCACTTCTCCTTAGTGAGGTAATCTCTTCACCAATCATCACTTCCTTGGTAAAAGATTTTACATGTAGTTCTTCTAAAGCCAAACTGCACGTTTTTTTTTTTTTAAATTCTATCCTTTCTGATTTCTGCTCCCCATTTCCATAGTAAACCTGGTCAGAAGCTTCCAGCAACACACCTGCCATCTCAGGCATGCTGTGCTGCCTGTAATTTCTTCTACCACTTTCTTAGTCTATCACTTTAAAATTCAGATTCACAGAAAGTCTCAGGACATGGGCAAAATGTAGATGAATTCTTTCCTGGATGTAATATAAATGGATTATAGTCCATTTCCCAATAAGTTCTCATTCCCCACCTTGCTGTATTGGGGATCATGCTTCCAACAAATGAACTTTAGGAATATTCAAGTGCCAAACCAGACAGGGATTTTGATTCTTTGGCCAGTCCAGAATTTCTCCTTTGCTTTATGGCTCATGATGACTATGGTTTTGCTTTGACGTGAATTTCTGTCATAATGTGCTCCATGTCTTAGGCCCAAAGCAAAGGGCTACTCCATCATTAACTGGAACCTCCAAAACAGTGAATAAAAATGAATGTTTTCTCTTTTCAATTAATTTTCACAAGTGTTTTGTTATAGTATGGGAAGCTAACTGTGCAAACTGATTTGTGAACTCCAAAATCTAAGATCATACATATTTTGTGATAAACTCCCATTACTTATGACTTTTATGACTTTTCTTTTATGCTATTAAAAGACAACATCTCTCAAATTAATAAGCATATATACTTTTGTCTCCTTTTAATTTTACTCTTGTTACACATGATTAGTTAATACTTATTGAGGTACCACAGTACTCCTAACTATATAAAAAGAAATTCTTAAGTTTTACTACTCCTACGACATAGTCATGTTATTCTCTTGTAAAAACTCAATTTTAGGATCAATTTACATTCACTTCCTATGATTCTATATGAATTGACAGCCATAATAACCTCAAAATAAAAAATATATCATTGCTGCCAAAAACCAGTCCATGGCCTCACATGAACCTGTCAGCTGCTGCAGGATGGCAGAGCTACTTGTCGAAGTCCTTGGCTAAACCATGCAGAAATCTGCATGCTACCCTAAACAAAGGAATTCCTTTCACATGGCCAGCCCTTTCTCAGTATTCTACACTCTCTTCTTACCAGGCCATTGACCCAGGGCCTTTGGAGAGAAGACCCTTCCTGTCTTTCTATTGGATGTCAGGGGAAATACTGCTCAGGGGGCATCTTCATCTTAGCCTGTCGGGCTCTGATCAGATGTCTCAGTTATATTGACTTAGTACAATATAATCTAGGTGGGATGGCAAAATAAAATAAAGCAGACATCTGTTGAAGCTGAAATCTGGAAGATGGAAGTCATTTTAATTTTTCTTCTACTTTTGAATATCTGAAATTTTTCATAGTAAAAATTTTGAAAACAATAAAAATCAAATTCTTTTGTTGTCTGGTCCTATTACACAAGAAATTTACAATTCTGAGTGTCAGTGGATTCTTAAAAAAAATTCTAAGATTCTTGTAAAACAAGTTAGCAGTTGTATTAGTTTCAGAATTAAGAGGGAATCATTTTATTTTAAGGTGAGTTTTCACTACTTAAGTTCAAACATGTTTTAAACCAACTTTAATAACATAGGACAGAGAAAGTATTAAAAGTGCTAAAATAATTCTGCCTGTAGAGCAAGAGAAAGAAACCCAGAACACTTCCTGCCAACCCCTGAGGGCTCTGCTATCAGATACTCTAAGTAATAGTCATTCCATGGAAGAGACCCACTCCTTTATTGTTTAAGCAAATTATATTACATTGTTTATAGATTGTATCAGAATTACTGTAAAGGGTTATGAGTGGATTTTCCAGAATGGCACTTTAAATACAGCATGATTGATTCTTTGGTTCATTCTCCCCAACATTTTTATCGTTGACAAAGCTTCTCGGAATATACTAGATATTTTGGTTGGATCATGACAACAAACATATGTAAGTGTGCTTCTACAGTTTTCTTCTTGTATGGCATACAAATTTGTGAACCTGAGTGGTCTTAGTGAAATCTTTGTTTTTGAATTAAAAATATATCCCATTTTTGAGGAAGATGTGGGACATTTTATTTCATTATAAATCTTCTTTATAACTACTTCCTTTATATTATTTTTAAATAGCTTTCTTAGTTGACTTAATGCATAAAAGAAGTTTGAAATTGTTTTCCTATATCTTTACTTAAAAAAAATAGATTTTCCTGTGTTTCCTTTTTAATTAAACTATTTCTCATTCTGAAAAAGACACACGCAACTTCTCTTTGTTTAAACAGATTCTAAAATTCAGGCTGCATTTGAAGTTGAAAATGGTATACTTGAAAAAGCAGTTGCTTACATAAGCTGTGCCTCTCCTTCTTTAATTTATATTGATCTCTTGTTTCTGCCCTCGCTCTAATAATAATAAGCAAGATTCTTTGAACTACAGAGTTTATTGGCTTAAATACACTCAGGAGGCCAAAAACTGTAGTACATGCCTGTAATATTAGTAACTTGGAAGGCTAAGGCAGGAGGATCACAGGTTCTAGGAAAGTCTCAGAAACTCAGTCACAAAATTAAAATAAATAAATAAATAAATAAAAAGGGCTGGGGCACAGTGGCAAAGCACCCCTGGTCATATAAATAAATAAATAAATAAATAAATAAATAAATAAATAAATAAATAAATAAATAAATAAATAAATAAACAAACCTAGGATATCCACATTTGAAGTTTGACTCAATCATCAGATTACAAGTATACTAATGCCTTGATAATTGTTTTTGTAATTTTTTTTCTGAATTGTAAAAATAAATAAGTAAAATATCATTTTTGTCTTGGACCTTCAAATATGACATTTCTTTACTAGTTCTCCTTTGAATTCAGTTATACCTTTGATAATTCAAGAGGAAGTCTAAGGAAATTTTACAGTGATAGAAAAACAAAGAAAACTAGTGAGCTTAAACCATTAGTATATAAAAATCATGATTTTTAAAATTCAAGGCATGTGATCAAAATAATTGTTCTGGCATTTGATTGGTCTTGTTTTCATTAGTATAACATAGGTTCTGTGACAGACGAACTTACAAAGACAAGAAATCTATTTAGCTAGCAGCTTTGGAGGTTGAAAATCTCAAAGGCCCATTGTTTTGTCTTCTGGGGAAGGCCTAAGGATGGTATCAGGTAAGAAATACATGAAGAAGCAAGAGATCATACTACAGAACAGGATGGCACAGACTGATGCAGGTACTGGGTCCACACTTAGAACCATCTCCTCTCATGAGCGTTTATAGCTTCTACAACTACTTTAATCCCTTTTGAGACACCTCCCTCAGGGCCTTTCATATGGCCCCAACTCTGAAAAGTCCCACCATGTCTGAGTATTCCCACACTAGAGACAAAGGTCCCACCACAGAAACCCGTATGGGACATATTCTAACCATATTCCAACCAAAGCAGGTAGCTCTTGTCCATGTAATTTATATAAGACACCTGTTTTGTATCCCATACAGTGATGTTTTTTCCTTGCAAATGTTGTCTCATCTGGGTGAAATCTCAAGTTTAATCAAATTCTTTTGTAGTTTTGATTCAACATTGCCTTTTACATTGAGATGAACTGAAGTGCTAAGAATTATTGAAAGTCAAAAACACTTTTAACACATCACAGATAGTTGATTTCTGAGTATTTTATTTAATATTGAGTCCTCCAGCATCTGTTCAAACCTTGATATTTCTGACTGAGTTAAAGCAAATAGATAAAGAGTGCATGGTCTGTATGAAAAATGTCCCCAGTGGTCTCTTCTGAGAATTTTTGAATTTGTGTTCGTTTTTATTTTCCCATAGATTTATATTATGCTTAAATGTGTTTATACAAAAAGCAAGATATTAAATTAAATAAAGATATCATACTCAATAAAACAAAATTCAGTTAACTCTAAGATCTTATAAAAAATAAGTTTCATTCTTTAGAATATAAAGTCAAAGGAGCAATTTCACTCTGTGAAGCTCAAATATTATTTGAATCCTTTGACTTCTAACCAGAATAACAAATATGTATTTGAAGAGTTCCCTATGATTAAAAAAAATTGTTTTCAGTACTATTGTGTATTATGTTTCAGCAAAACACTGAGACAACATCAATTTTTAAAGTATAATCTCCTTATGGAACTTTTAAAAATATCATAACTTTTTGTAGTATGACTTAAATACCTATCAACAAATGAAATGCATTAGACCAAAAATCACAATAAACTCAAAAAATGAACAAAAATCTCCAATGTGAAATGTAGTTGAGTTTCTTAAAAAAAATAAAGGAAAGAAAATGAGTTCTTTATGGACATAATGTTTCCATAAAATACCTCTGGGGATAATTTACTAGTCAGAAAAATATTTTTCTATACATGAAATATTTTAAAAATAATATTAGAAACTTTTTTATTTTCTGAGTCATAATTTGGAAGAAAAATAACTTATTTTCTGCTAATGGAAAGGGGAGGTAAGATTCTGGTTAGACAGGTAGGCTATGTAATCAGCTAAGTGACCTGCTTGAATTTATTTACTGTCATGGCACATGGTGAATGTTAACAAGTTATTTTGTACCATGGAGTTTGAATTTTATGCAAAACTTTCAAACTAAGAAGAATGAACTGAATCCCCAAACATTTATTTACACTTTTTGACTTCAGATTGTTTGATAAATGGATTACTACAATAGAGATAAATAGTTAAATAAATAGAGTTAAAACTCTTAATGGATTGGCCTAGTAGAACATCTTTTTCATTCATTAAATCTTATTTCAGAGATGATGATTCAAGGGTGCAAAATATAAAGAGAACTGGACCAGGACTAGAAGGTATGCAGATCACTTCTATTCTCATTACCTAAGTGCATGGTAACACTTACCTGTAAAGTGAGATTGGGGATGTAACTCCACACTGTCTAGAAAGAAGAAAACACAGACCTAAATATTATCCAGGATTCTTTTTACGCTTCATTCGTACAGAACTCACTATTTCTGTGAAAAAAAAAATTAGTTGGCATGTTCAGATTTGAAGGAAAAACATACATTAAACAATAATCTAACTTCAAATATATTTTGTCCATATGTAAAAATGAAATCCAAAGGACACATGAATTTTGCCTTGACCTGGTTTTTATGCCTATGAAATCAAATGAAAATAAAATTTAATTAAATCTTGACATTTTAATGTTTTCAAATGAGTGATTCTAAATCAATAACATCTGCTCTTCAGGAATTTATTTCCATCTCGTTTTCCTGTTACATGTTGGAATCTCAAAGACGGGAACAAATAATAAAATTAGTTAAGTGAAAAGAGCACATATAATACACAAACTAGGAAGAATAACTGATCATTCACCCTTTGGTCTTTTTGGAATAAATTAAAGATTATAGTGGTGCTTAGGGCAAGCACTCCTAGTCTCTTTTTATAAAGGGATATAGCTTTGCTTAAATAGAAGAGAACTTTATGTTTGGTTTATTGCTTAGTATAATTCCACTTCAATGCTGCTGAAGTTTTATTTTAAATAACTATTTTGCCCTGTTTAGTCTTAAATGATAAAATTACAGTCATTTAAAGAAAATAAAATTGGAACAGATGACTATTTCTGAATCATTATTAAATTGGGCTCTAAATCTTACCATAACTCACAGTTTCAAACATTATCTGTGAAGCAAAGAAACTAACAGCACCACAGAGCTAATATTTCAGATCCAAAGAACCTTTTACAGCTAAGTTATTTTTTCCTTTGAGAAATACTAATTTCCCATCTGATTTGGCATATTTACATTTCCAACTAAGTTCCAGGGTTTTTTTATATTGTTACTAGAACAAATCATAAGAATTCACACAGAGACATGGATATCCCATGGAGCCAGGCAGAAGCACTGAAGAGGATTTTAAATTACTGCTGTTTGTCAAGCCATGTTGATTATTTGCCAAGTAGTAGAACAACAAGAAGGTGTGGTCAGTAGTTAATAAAATACCCATAAAAGTACCATATCATTTGTAACTCAGTAATTTAATTATCATTGTTTCAATGAGGTTTCAGGTAGAAAAGAAAGCAATCTAGTTATTTCAACCAAGGGACAGAAACTAATAATCTATTGCAAAATTATTAGAAAAATCATTATGCAGCAGGAGGCATTGTTGCTAGAGAAACAGAAAGAAGATATCACACCTGGAACCTAGGAGTCAACATCTCTTCTGTGACTGAAGACTATGCTGCTTTTATTCCATAACCTTCTTCAAAGATGTCCACAAATAAGCCTGAATCACGAAATTATGCTTTCTCCAAAGATGGGAAGAAACCACCCATATTGCCATATCAGAACATAAAAACTAAAGAAGCCAGACCAGAAACAATTACCCCCTCTTTGCTTTTCACTACCCTAGTTCCCCTCTTATTCTTGCTGACCTAGCACTTCAGCACTTGCATAACCAATTCCTGTGTTGGCTTCTCTTTGAAAGAGAGGAATCACTATTTCACAAATTTCCCCTGCCTGAGGCTTACAAAGGAATCTAGGACGCTTGCTACATCCAGCTCACCAGTTTTAATCAGCTCCCAGCAACATAGTAGACAGCATGACACTTTTTAGAATATTAAAAAAAAATAAGATCCATAGCAATAAGAGTCAGAATATTGACCAAAATTTGTTTTATTATGCTGAAGATTCACCACTAATAGGGTGGATTTGACCCTACTTCTGGTAGTCATTGTTAATTGATATACGGGGAAGAGAAAGAGCCTTTTGTATCTCTCCACATAAATAACCAAATATTCAATGTCTTGCTCTAATTTGTTCCATTAAAGAGATCACAGCTTGAATAAAGCTACAGTGGAAGTCAGTAGCAAATTGTCTAGATCATTCCCTGTAATTGATACCTGTGGTGAGCACGCATATTAGAAACTAATATGCTTACACCCCATGCCTTTACTTAAGGTTCATCCGTATTTCTCTTTCTCAACTTGCTTTTGAACAATCTTTCAATCTTTTCCTTCCTCATTATACTATCAAACTGTTTCTTTCAATCCTATTAAATTGCTCATGAATGTGCTTCAAGCTATTCCTTTGGTTGTGTCTCCTTTGAGACGCAGCTGAGAGGCATATATGTTGTTTCTCAGAGAATTTTCCCTTTCCACTGTCTTAGGTTGGAGCTCCTGGGGGTCTTTGGTGGTTTGGCCATGAAATCATGGTTGAAAACCCAGTCAATATTATTTGACGTAGTGGTTCTAGGTAACAATAAATGAAGTAATAGATATGGAAGGTGACAGAGAGGTTAAAATATTGAGCCATATTTACATTTAACTTACTTGAGAATTTGTGGTTTTGCATACAGGACTTCCAGTGGAGATAAAACACTGATGCACAAGCTCAGCTTTATGACTTTTGAATCCCTGCTTTATGACTGGCAGCTGAGGTTGCATATAGACTTAGATTCAGTTAGGGTCATGTGGCAAACCACAGGATTTGTTTTCAAAAGGAGAATAATATTCTATGGAATATGACTGAATTTGCTCCAGAATCCTAGGATCTAACCTATACTTCTCCAACAAGAAGAATCTAATAGAAAACCAATTATTAATAGTGCCTGAAAGTATAGGTTTTAGAACCCTAAAGCCAGTATTGGATTTTAAAACACTAAAGTGCTGATACTGAGGGATACCAGTTAAATTACTAGTACAATAAGTAGTATTAAGACTTTTTGTGTATTTGTAAAAGGTGGTTATTTCATTATCGTGATAAAAACATAATAAAGTATTTTTGAAAACTCATGAAAGTGAGATTTATAATTTGTGTTTCAATAAGATTGCCTCCTATAAATTAAAATTATGCAAATACAATACAATGAAAGAAATTATTAATTTGACTATGTCAATTGAGTTAAGTTAAATGCATTAAGTTTAATTATATATTGTACATTACTTAAGTATGAAGGGTCTATATACATATAGATTCTCAGTTAATGGTCTTTGATCCTAATTTTTAACAATAAATGTTTGTAGTTCTGAAATATTTTTCTTCAGTGAACGATAACCAATCACTAAAGTAAGTATAAACATGCAGATTTACAAAGATGATAGCCACTGGTAGAATATATCAACATACAAGTAGGTATAAAAGTTGATTTTATTTTCCTTCAATCCCTAATGCTTTTCTTTGTAAAGCATTACTGAGGAATATTTTCTGCCTTTGAAACCGGCATGGAATTTTTCTGAATATTGATTATTCAAAAATAAATGATATGAATGTAGTTTAATCATATGTTGTGCTTATAATTCATACATTCATTTTTGGTCATTTATGACATTACTTGATTAAACATGATTCCTAAACTGAGATCACTGATTGTGGTCAAATAAAAATGGATGTTTCAGGTGTAAATATAGCCAATTATTAATCATAATTGTACTGAATATTGACTACATGACTTGAGCTAAGACTAGGTACTATGAAAACAATTATGCTTCAACTAGATACATTTTATTGGTCTGATGTGAGACTAAGTAAGATATTTTCAAGTAAAATAAATTTCACATTCTAAATGTTGTATTAGAATTGGAAAGAAATATTGGAAGGGAAAGAAGGAGGAAAAGTACTATGAAAAATTCTGGGTGTAATTTTCCTGTGTTCATACATGAATACACAACCAGTGTAACTCCACATAATGTACAACTACAAGAATGGGAAATTATACTCCATGTATGTATGGTATGTCAAAATACATTCTAGTATCATGTATAACTAAAAAAAAATGGATAAATAAAATATTCTATTTTATTTCATTTTGGAGGATACCAGGAATTTAACTCAGGGGCATTCAACCACTGAGGAACATCCCCATCTTATTTTGTATTTTGTTTAGAGACTCGGTCTCACTGAGTTGCTTAGCACCTTGCCAAGTTGCTGATGCTGGCTTCAAACTCCTTATCCTCCTTCCTCATCATCCTGAGCTACTGAGAGAGAATACAGTATAATTTTTTTTTTAATTCAGAGTGTAACAAGTTCTGTGATGAGGAAAAATATACCAAAAATGTAGCAAAAAAATATTTTGCCTTCATGGACCTTAGACAAATATGGTTGGATATGGAATAAATACATAGAAGACCTGCAGCTTCTGATGTAACCACTGGATCCACAGAAAACCCTTTAGATAATCTCATTGACTATGCTAAGGATGTCATATATTATTCATGTTTAAATTATTATTTAACATTGGAAGTGTCAATTACCTAACACTCATCTGTTTGGAATCCCTAGTTACATTTTTTAATATTATTTTACTGAACTATAAGTAGAACCACTAATATATAAATACATAGTACTTCTACTTAAAAATTCAGAATTGCATCATTTATAATATGATTTCTATATGACAAATACTGTGCTAAGTATTAGAAAAATCCAAATAGGATGAAATAGCCAGTGTTCTTAAATTGTTCAACTACAAATTTATATGAAGTAGAAAATACTGTAGAAGGGGATCCCCCGGAGCCAGTGTGACCACAGGGGTCCCCAACAATGGGTTGCTCTAACCAGAAGAATTTTAAGCAGCATACACAGAATAGCAAGCAAGAGTTTATTAAAGAAATCAAAGTGCACTCAGTGTAGGCACTGAGTGGGCTGTCTGAAGAGAAAGGAAGGTTTTTATGGCATCTGGGCTTCTTTACTCTTGTCTTGTTTCCTCCAACCCTTTTGATTGACAAGTGACTTATTGCCCATTGTTTGTCATTTTGTATGGCCCTCAGCAAATTTTCTTTGTGAGGGTCATAATGATCGGGTCACAGAAAATGGTTTTGACATGGTTTGAAATAATAGATCCTTTAAGGGGTTGTGATTAACTATGATCAAGTTTGGTCTGACATAGTGACTCGTGTGTATGTGTGTGTGTGTGTGTGTGTGTGTGTGTGTGTGTGTGTGTGTGTCTGTAGTGGGGTGGGGGTGGTTATATGTGACCAGATGCTTATCTATACTGTTAGGGTTTCTTGATTTTCTCAATGCTAGGACCAATAGACTTCTTTCTCTCTTCTACACATTTGATATCCTCCCATATATTGTTGACCCATATTGTTCCTCTTCCCTCCTGCTCATAACGATTACCTACTTAACAAGAAACCTGCTTGATTCCCTAATTATTATATTCTTTTTTCCTTATAAAATCTAGTTTTTTTCCTTAACATGGGTTAAAGAATATTAAGTTGCACAAAAACCAGAGTCAAGAATTTATATCTAAATATATATCTAAAGTATTTAAGTCATCAATGAATTAGGAAGAAAAAGGAGGTTTTTGTTAAATATTATATTCCCTGGATGGGCAGGGTAATATATGTCAGTAATCCCAGCAATTTGGGAGGCTGATGTAGGAGAATTGCAAGTTTGAGGCCAGACTTAGCAAATTCACAAGATCCAGTCTCAAAATGAAAAATAAAAAGAGTTGGGGATGTAGCTCAGTGGTAAAGTGCCCCTGGGTTCAATGCCTAGTACAAAAAAAAAAAAAAAAAAAAAAAAAAAAAAAAAAAAAAAAAAAAAAAAAAAAAAAAAAAAAAAAAAAAAAAAATTACATTCCTTGACAAAGAACCTAAGACAAATAATCTTGTTTTAAAATATATGTGGAAGTAATTTGGTTATATCTCATTCACAAAAAAAATATTTGCATGTAAAGAAAGAAAGATGAAAAATTTAATGTGCGTAAAACAAGTATATAAAGTAATATTAAGTATTTAATTTTTTTCATATAATAATACAAATTGAGCAGCCCTAATCTGAAAATCTAACACATGAAATGTTATAAAATTGAAACATTTTGAGTACTTACATGACACCATAAAAGGAGAATTCCACTTTGATAGTACATGATGGGTCAGAGTAAAAATGAAAATCCTTCCAGGCTCCATGTATACAGATGAATATGAAACATAAATGAAGTTCATCTATTCATGTGTACTTCACAACTATAACATCATTTTAACATAAAAAATATTAATCATAAATATTGAAGGATATTAACACCTGCAATTTTTAAGAGTCATACAAGGAAGTTTTCTAATTCAAAAGTAATTTTATCATGAGGGTAATTTTTAAACAACAGTGTACTCTGAAATTCCATGTAAAGCTCAGTTTATTGTATACAAAGTCTATGTCATTGAAAGAAATAAATGCATCATACCATTTTAGAATTGTTTTTTAAGCATTCTCTGAAACCAGCTGCTTGCTAAGAAAGAAATACAAGTCAAATGCAAAAGATATCCATAATGTATTCATGTCCTTCAGCACTCAGTAGATAAATCATTCTTATTCAAATGAGATCCTTGACTTTTCCCTGCTCCTATGTTCAAGAGATACGCTAAAAGTATATGAATTCTCAGAGAACACTCTGTCTCTCTAGCTATTTTTTTTTTTTGTACTGAGTATGAAGAATGAAACTAAATGGGAAGAATGCAACCTGAAACAAAACCTCAAA